TTTGAATCAAATTATTTCGGATTTAACCTAGTAACTAAGCTTGACTTCACATCATTAATGGTTGTGCTTTATAACCCGTCTATGACATATTTCCTTAAAGAAAAAGGGGTGTGCAGGTTAAAACTCTAACTGTTTAAGATTCATCTTTTAGAACAGCTGTCTGCGAACAGACCAAAACACTGTACATGGTTAAAACTATGATATCTTTTTCAAACAATGTCTGAACACTTGACTTTTTCTGTTGACATTTTGGAAACCATTTTTCTTTGAGCCTCAATTTGGAGAGATCATAATTAGTTTTCAAATTGATTTTTATAGCATGCTCAAAATGAAAATAGAAGGTTAGGTATATTTGCAGATATAATGGTCATACTTTATCTGAGAATCAGACAGAAGCATTTTTTCCAGGGTTCACTCATCCATGGGTGATAGGTATCAGTGGGGCAATGAATCCACTCATGTTTCAGTCCAGATCTTAATGGAGCAAATCAAGGTGCTGAAACCTACCCCTGAAATGGGTTCAGTGCCTTCAACAGTTGAGATTAAGGCACTTGCTGCCATTGTGAACAGCCCATGGAAAAGCAAAATGGGAAAGAAAGACATAATGTACACAATTACATGTATGCAATCCAAAGCACAGGACAAGAAATATTTGGCACTGCTTTGCCTATTATTTTTACAGCCAAATCTCTAATACAAAGACAGAAGATATCAACTAACATCAATATCAAATAGCTAGATTGATATTCAGGTTGAGGGAAGTATGATGATTTCCAGTTTTGAGGAAAAGACTCTGTACCGGGGCTTAAAAGAGACCAGGAGGGCAAAACAAGACTCTTAGAAAGTATGAAGGGCTCTTTTGGGGGATGTTTAAACAAAACAGGGTGAAAATGTATTGTCGAAGGCTTTCATGGCTGGAATCCATGGGTTGTTGTAGGTTTTTCCGGGCTATATGGCCATGTTCTGGAGGCAATTTTTCTTAGGAGATGCAATACTCCTCCAAACATCTTTGAGGTTTGGAGGGAGGCATACACTACTACTATTTTGCTTTTCCAGAAAATGTTCACAATGGTAGCAAATGGTTTAAAAACATATCAATCAAATCCGCAAATAGTTAAACCCAAGAAAGTTAAAGTGTGGTGGGCTGACTGTACCTTCATAACAGCAGAAAAAACATGCAGGCCATGGTTTAGAGGTGTAGAGCGTCCCTGTCCATTGCATATAAGTTTGCATTGTGAGACAAAATATTGAACAGTTTGTGTCCATAAATCATTTAAAAAAGAATCCCTCTCTTTTGTCTTGTAGGTAAATCCATCTAACCACAGACTGCTTTTTGAAGTATTTGATGAAAACAGATTGGTGAGTATTCTCTTCTATATTTTGTTGTTGTGTTGTTTCTACGTTTGTTCAATTCAACCCAAACCTGAGGTTTTTTGGAAAGATTTATTCAGAGGAAATCCACAATTTATTTCCTCTTGGGTTGAGAGAATATGACTTTTTCCAGATCACCCCTGGGGTTTCCTTAACTCAGCAAGGACTTGAACCCTGGTCTCCCAGAGCCCTAGTCCAATTCTCAAACTACTACATCACACTGGCTCATGTCTGTTTGCTACATTCATGTAAAATGAATGTTTCTTGCTGTGGCATAGGTATAAAGAGTTGTTTCTATTTTGGTTATGAGAAGTTAGTCAATTATTTCCCCAAAAGAAAAAAATAAGGAAGCATGAAAATTGTTTAATAAGTAGGCTTGGAAATTGTTCTGAGTTCTTCTTAGAATTGCTACATGTGAGGTGTTTAGACATTATGGTTCATTGGGTTGTGGGTTTTCTGAGCTGTTTGACTATGTTCCATAAGCATTTTCTCCTGACGTTTCATCCAAATCTATGGCAGGCATCCTCAGACTTTGTGAAGCCTCACAATCACTGACTTCACAACCTCTGAGGATGCCTGCCATAGATGTGGGTGAAACATCAGATGAGAATGCTTCTGGAACATGGCCATACAGCCTGGAAAACTTATGGTAACCTAGTGATTCTGGCCATAAAAGCCTTTGATAACACATTATGGTTCATCTTTGTGTCCCCAAGATTCAGTTGTAGAAGCCCCTCTCATGTGGCTGCTTGAGACATCTACCTGAGATGGAACCAGTGACAGCCCTCAACTGATCCTCCTGAGTTCCCCATTACTTTAGAGAAGGGGTTCTCAAACTGTGCTTCTCCAGATGTCATGGACTTCAGTTCCCACAATTCCTAACAGCTGGTAAACTGGCTGAGGTTTCTGGGAGCTGAAGTCCAAAACACCTGGAGAAACACTACTTTAGGGGATAGCTCTGTGTGACACAGATTCCTGTCTTTCACTTGCTAAGCTACAATGTGGTAGTGATGATCCTGTCATATTCCCAGGACTAAAGTAAAACTGCTAGTTGATTTGTACACAGAATGGAAGCACTTGAATTGCATTGGGCTGACTGCCCACCTCACCCCCCTATGCTCACTGCTGTCATTGAGTGACTGAACATTAGTTGAAGTTTTAAATAGCATATAACTAATAATCATGGAGTTAGAAGAGACCGTAAAGGCCATCCAGTCCAACCCCCTGCCAGATAAGAACACACAAAGCACCCCCAAACTTAATCCTATGTCTGCCCAACTTTTGTCACAAATAACTACCAAATTGGAAAGCAAGTGTGGTATCGTGGTTTGAGTGTTGGACTAGGAGACTGTGAGATTGGCATTTGATTCCCTGCTCCGCCATGGAAACCCACCATATGACCTTGTACGAGTCCCACCTCTCAGCCTTAGAGAAAGCCTTAGAGAAAGGCAAGAGAAAACACTCTTTGAGTAACTTCTGCCAAGAACACTACATGCTAGGATCACTTCAGAGTTGCCATAACTTAGAAATTACTTGAATAAACAGAATAACAAGGTTGGTGCTAGGGTTTGAGTGAGATATGCCACAACTTCCCTTCAGGATAGGCATTTTTGGACGCCACGGTTGCTCTGGGATATCTTTGCTGTTTTTCCACTGAATTGAATATTAACGTCTTTGAAAATGAATGAAGACTTGTGTGGATAAACTGGAGTGTTCATCAAACTTCAACTTATGGTCTGACCCTTCTTTTTTCTAAGGACTGTTTTTCTGTCAAAGTATGGGTTGCTTGCTCATATGATATGGAAATAGGCTCCAAAGTCTGAAAACTGTGTTAAAACAATGCTGGAGAAACCTCCAGACTAATATTTATTTATTATTATCATTATTACTGTATAGCAAATAGTCATGACTCCCCTACCTTCTTATTTTGTTTTGTTGTTTCTTGCCACCTATTAATAATAATAATAATAATAATAATAATAATAATAATAATAATCTTTATTTATATACCGCTCTATTTATTTATTTATTTATTTATTTACTGTATTTGTATACCGCCTTTCTCAGCCATTTGTATACCGCCTTTCTCAGCCAATTGGCGACTCAAGACGGTTTCCAACAAATCATTATACATAAAACATAATAGATAAAAAAGCATTAAACAGTATAAGACATCACAAAAGCAATAAAAGCAACATCATCAGCTCTATCTCCCCTAGGGGACTCAAGGCGGTTTCCAAATAGCAAAACACCAACATACAGAGTACGCAAAAGATAAGCATAGAATTCTCAAAATAACACAAATACATTAAAAACTAATCCCAATAAAAACAATAGTGGTTTGCACTAGCCTTTGACTGTCAGTGCTGTTCCCCTTTTCCCTTTGTAATTAGAGCTGTTTTATTTCTCTGTCTGAAAACAAGTTGCTAGAAAACCGAGGCTGAAATGTCTAGGACGTGACTCAGGCCCGACACCTGTATAAGATTTCTTTTCCCCTTTAGCTCTATGAAGCTTTCATTTACAAAGGCAGTTGTACTTGCCTCCTGACAGTACTGTTTGGTTTCATTGCCTTGCCTTTAAATTCATTCTTGAAGGAGTGTTTTCAGTTGTACTTCAGCCATACCTCCCCTCCTTATTATTTAAACTACCACACAGAGCAGAGCCGAATTCGGGCATTGTTTAATTTTGGGTTTCAGACTGCCTGTTAGTTCTTCTGATGCTTTTGGCTCCTAATAAAGCAGAGCTCTGTTCCATTCTGGCAACCCAAGCTACTAATATTGCTAAACTTTCTCACTGGAGGTTTGCCAGCGCTGGGCAGCGTTTATGTACGGTGTTTAAGTCAGATCTGTACAGCTCTTCATGCACACCCTGTTCCAGATTTTACTTGCCTTCTCAACCTCTTAAAAACTGGGAAAGAGAGACTGTTGCTTGCTACTGGCTGCTTCTTGAATTGTGCGTGTAAGAGTTTCTTTTCTCTGTTTTTTTCCTCCCCAAAAAGATCTTACTGTAGCCAAAGTGGGTTATTATAGTCCGTTTATGGTGGCAATATGATATCTGTGTCTGTCGCTTCAGGAACGTATTGCTGCTTAAATTGCTTCAGGCATAAAGAGAGAAAGATGTGGTTTCTAGCATTCGCTGATAAGTATTTTCAGTAGTTTGAAGTTTGCAGCCAACTTTAAACAAACAAAATTTCAGTTTCTCTCTCTCTCTCTCTGCCTTCGCCCAGCCATTTTTTCCCTTGGTGATTCCCGATCTGCATGAACATATTAAGTGGATTTATTTTTCATGGAGGGAGGGAGAGGTCTTGTGTGGCTTCCCCCACTTGTCTTTCTTTTTCTTTTGGCGTAGAACAGAAATGTTCCGTGAATATGATGCAGTTTAGATTTATAGCGGAGTCGAGTGTGTTTGCTGCCTTAGTCAGCTGTGAGAGATCTCCCGCTGGGGCCGCTCCTTTTCTGATGGAAAAGGAACAGCTGTGAAGGTGCTGTTTCAGGCTATTGCTGGTATTAAAGTGAAAAAAATAGTTGCTTGCATTGGAGAGGGGGAAATGGGTCATGTGATGCCAGCCATCCTACCCTATGTCACAGTTTGGAGGAGCACCGATTGCTCTTATCCAATCATGCCTGGAATGCTGCTGGCCACTTGGGCTATTTCTGCTGCCTGTCTCTATCGGTGCAGTAGTGCTAACAGTTTGGCAGATGGGACACTTTTTCTTGGAGTTTATGTCTTTAGTTCTTAATTTCTGGCAGTGCCTGGACTCGTCGCTGTCTCCCCCTCCCCTCTCCTTTCTCCTGAAACCATGGCCCATCGGCTGCGGTTTCATTTTGGCTCCGGACGAAGCAACACCGCTCCTGAGTCGGGGATCCTTGACCGTGAGAGAGAAGAGGATGACTTTTTCATGGCATGCCACACTTTGCCCAGAAGGAATGGGCCTCATACTTTCTCAAGGCGAAGGGCCGAGTGTGGAGATAACCACAGGGATTTGCGGGAAGCCGGTTCCTTGAAGAGGAGCACCTCTATGTTTATTCCTCAGCTTCTCAACAGCATAGATGCACGGCCCACCAGGAGCTCTTCCGTGCAGATTTCGCTCCAGCGCAAGGCTGTCAATGGGCATGCTGATGAATGCGAGGGCACGGAATCCCCCCCAGAAGACATGGGGGATTTTTCAGATTTAGGGGAGCATTGTGCATCTCTTGATGGAAGCCATTCTTCTTCGAACAGTCAGCAGGTCACCCCAGACAACTCTCCACCCAGGCAAGCGGAGAACCCAGAGTATGAGATTAACGGAGAGCCATCTAATCACAGGATATTTTGTACCATCCCTTCCAATAACTGGACTGACAATGGTGCAGCCACTGGCCAGGACCACGAAGGAAGCAAAACCGGATTAGGCTTAAACATTGGCAGGGTAAGGATTCAGCATCGGGCTTCGAGCGTGGACGTGCCTCATGTTACGCTAATGCCCTTTGACTCAGAGGCGCCAAACAATGCTTCGGCCTCAGAACCCAGGCGCTGGTCTTTGCAACATTTGCCAGAAGGCTCTACCAATTCAGGAAAGAAATTCTTTGTTTTCCAATTGCAGCAGCCCCAGGCAAATAGCACAGGGACAGACTACAATTTTGGTTTTACGGGAACGAAAGGGGATCGGTTGGTTAGGTATCCACGAATACGTCTGGAGAGGAGTACCTCATATCCAGTTCACCCACAGCCAGAATGCATTAGCCCCATGGAGGGTGAAAGTGTGAATTCAACACTTCATGGAAATATCAGGAATGGCACTGAAAAATCCAGAGGCAATCCAGTGGAGCGGGTTTCTCCAGGGCAAGGATGCATGTTTAAAATCCACCCAGATCAAAACTCAAGGCAACAGCATTTCAGAATTCTTGTAACTCGTGGGATTAATGAGAAAGGTCAAAGTTCTGGATCAGAGAATTCAGCTGGTTCTGCTCCTGTTGCAACCAATTCATCAGTAAGTAAATGTTAACTTAGATTGTTTTGAGTCAGGGGATAAGGGGAATGGAAACTCAGATGCTTCGTGCAGGTCACATAGTTGTGAAATATCATATAGCAATGTTAGAAAGACCTACAATCTTCCAGAACAATCTGAAAGCATCTATGTTTTGTTAGGCTAAAGTAGCCTTAAGTTATGACTACTTCCACTGCAATGTTTTCAGGTCTTCTGGTGACTCATGAGTTACTTAATTCATTGCTACGTTGTCAAATACAGTTTGATAGTGTGTGTGTGTGTGTGTGTGGAAGCCATTCTTCTTCGAACAGTCAGCAGGTCACCCCGGCAGTGCCCATTTTGCCTATTTTGCCTTATTTCTATGCTTTTTAAAAGGTCCTATTATCTTTAAAATCTCAAGTGATATATACATTTATGCCAAACATACTATGTATACCTCGTTAAAAGTTAAGGATCAACAGCTGTTTTTCAAAAATATTAGCGCAGTTTTAGTGTCTTTTTGTTTAATTGCTTATAAATGTGAAAAAGTAGTCATGGAATCCCAAACGTTTTGATTTGTTAATTTCAGTTTTGGTTATACTACTATTTTCGTCATTAGCCTTAACAAATTAGGTACTATCGAGTTTTGAAGTTGGATAAATCGGTATATTTCATATTCTACAAACAATAGACTTAGGTTTTTTCACAGAAGGATATATAATAAACGAATGCCAAAGTTGTATTTTTAAAAAATGTGCTTTGTTGTTGCTTGAATGCCACTACATGTTCCAGCTCCATATGAAAACAAACAAAAGAGATGTTTTTGGCCCGTATCGCTTCCGCCTGTGTAATCATGGCATATATTGCAGTTCGATGCTGGAAGGCAGCATCTAACTGTGGGAAGGCATTGTGACGGTTGCTGCATAATACAAAAAGACTTTTATTCTACCTCAGTTTAACTTATTGATAGATACCTATTATATCACTGAGAAGATTATAGCCGCCTAGCACCAATTGCATTCCAGATAAGGGAATCAGGTTCATAAAGACATCTTTCTTTTCTTTTAGGCATCATTATGTCAGTATTGTGTGCTATTTTTCTTTCACTGTTAGTGTAGGAAAAATCACTCTAAAATTTCCAGATTGAGAGGAAACAGAAAAGACATGCATTCCAGCAGACATTTAATTCTGCTGAGTTTTTACTCTCTTTACCACATACATCCCTCTGGTTTTATTTTGGACATACTGAAATGACATTAAATGGTTTCAGGTTATTTTGTTCCCTGAATTTCTGGTATTTGAATTCTTAAAGCTGTAAAGGTTACTTATTTGAAGATTCTATACGATTTTTTGGGGAGCTGCTTAAGCTGAGATGCAAATCAAAAATGCATATGTGAGTTTTAGCTGCCACTGAAGGGGACTGAAAGAGGCAAAAGATACAGTATGTGCCAAATTGTGTTAACTCTTCTACAAACTGTTTGTGTTGGTGCGTGTGTCTTTTATTGAGTACTAAATTCACATAAAGGCAGTGAATGAGCAAGTTCCCCTATGAGCTCTTTTAAAACTCTTAACAATGTAGGGGTTCGGCATATATTTTCTATACTGTCCAAGATGGTTAAATGAATATCTTCCCTCATATTGAGGGCTCAGAGAAAACCCATTATTGGGTTTTTGCATGGCCAAACCCAATAATGGACTCAGTTTAGAATAAGATCAGAAATGTGCAACCAGGGGACTAGGAGTGACAACTTTTGCAATATTAAATTACTACACATAGATATATCACCAACAACAATTTGTACATCTACATCTTAGAAGCTTTATTGTGACACTTTTTAATTCCATATTATTGCATGTAGTATTTGATAATTTAAACATTGGACATAGCAAATAATATGAGAACAAATTCATGTGAGACAAACAGGGTTGCATTAGATGACAACAATATCACAAAGCTTTTAATTACCTGTGAAGTCCATAGTTATTTGAAATTATGTCCTCTGTATCAGACAACACTAGCTAGTTCTAAGCAGAGGATGAGATTTCAATGGCAGATGGCACTTCCTTTGGGAATCCATTTATTCATTGAGCTTTTAGGGGTAAATATCCAGTAGTGTTAGCTTTAATTGGCAGATGATCTTTAGGGTTTTAGGAAGGATCCTTTCATGGCCTAACCTGGAGGTCTCTCTTGGTCTTCCAACTTTATATTAACTGTACCTGATCCTTCTTAATATCTGAAATCACATGAGATCTTTAGTTCTTGATGGACTTATGACTCCTATTAGCCCCAACCACCATGACTGGTAGTCATAGCTAACAGAAGCTATCATCCAGCAATGTCCAAAGAGCCACAGATCCATAATTTGTTTTCTCTGTCACTCACCTATACAATTCCTCTATTGATGTACAGTATTTGATTGATTTCTATGCCACATAACCCTCTTTACAGGATGCCAAAAAAATCGTACTCAAAAATAGAGAAGTAAACAGTTAATCCAAATATCATTTTAATTATAAAGCCGTTTAAATTAAAAACTGGAATCAGATTTAAATGCCCATGTGAATTCTTTTTTTGTAATGCTCATCCAAATTCTGTTTTGGATTTTTTTTAATCTTAGAAGAAAGACTGTCCTTTGCCGTTCTTGAAAACTGATCTCTGAAAGCAAAACTGACTGTCCTTCTTCTCATGCCACAAACATGGTTTTGCTCTGAGACCTTTTATTTATTGAAAATATTATTTCTTTTCCTGATGTTGGATGAAGAGTCTTGATCATTTAATAAGCAATACTTGACGCTATGGCTCCATGGAGGCAGATTTAAACTCCTATGTGTATACTTTTCCAGACTAATAGTACAGGACACAGAAACATCCCTTTTGGGTTTGGGTGTTTTTTTAAAAAAATATCTTGGGAGGAAAAGGGTTTATTGATATTCTTGAAAACTGAGTCATAACCCTCTTGGTACTAACGTTGGAGAGTGGTCGCTGGTCAAAGTGGTCCCTAGTTTTTTAAAAAAGTTGGGAACCACTGTTTTAGGTCCACAGACCATTCTGTAAAAGTTGTACTCACAAAAAAAGTGTATGTAATTATAAAGTAAGCTGTAAAAATCGATAACCTTTTGTAATTTGTATGTATAAAAGAAGGCTGAGATATGCATAGAGAGTTTTCTGTACAGATATATGGACTTCTCTGTTTGCCGTAGTGTTGGTAACAGTTCTAGGAAGATGGTGCATTGCATGGGCCAAACCAACCACCTGCTCCTACAATAAAAAAACACTATACTTGTGAAGCAGTATTTCATATACACTTTAATCCATCTGATTGGCTGTAAGTGAGCAATCAGGTTTTCATTGAGGACTAGTGTTGTATTCTGCTGGATTCACATCTGGGGCTCATCCACATGACGCGATTAAAACAATGTGATTCAACTTTAACTGCCATGGGATCCCTGGGATTTGCAGTTCATGGGAGACATGTAAAAATATCAAACAAAGAGCTCTTGGACCTCACCGAATCACAAAATCCAGGATTCCACAGGGTAGCAGTGAAATAAAAATCATGGTGCTATAAATGTGTTCATGTGAAAGAGTCCCTAGTCTAGTGTTGATCTCAAATCTGTTAAGTTACTTGCATATCTAAATGGTTCCACAATTACAGTCATGGATATGATTTGTGTGCATATTTTGTTTTCATTCCTATGCATGTTTGTTTTGTTAAAAATTCACGCAAGACTTAGTGTAACTTTTTATTCCTAGTCACTTTTATGGCTATCATTGCTTGCCACCATCAAATTAGAAAAATACAGAAGTAAGAGAATAACCCCAAAACCCTGTTTAAGAATTATTTAAAAGGAGATGGTACTTTTCATTTCCTTATGACATTTTGATGCTTGGCATACAGAAATGCACTATGTAATATTTTAGTGTTTTAGTTTGTTTTGATACCAAAGCAAACTAGTCTGACAGAGAAGACTAGATATCTCACAAAACTACAGATCCCAGAATTTACTTAAAATGGCATTAAATCAATATAATTTTGCAGTATGGCTGCTTCCTTAGAATGATCAAAGCCACAGTGAGAAGTTGGATATGGACAGAACCTATTTACATCTTTCATTGCGTGTTAAGAGAAGTCTTGATTGATACTGTAAGCATGGCTGAGATTTAAACTGTTATTCCTCATTATATTCTATTTTTAAAAGCCTAGTTTTGTGTTAGAAAAGTAGTTTATTTACACATTAAAATTGTCCACCAGGTATGTTTAATTGTAGAGATATGTCCTTTGTATATTCTAAGACTAAAAAGAGATTTAGTAGCAGTATGCACAGAAGGCCATTTCAGTTCAACCCCTGAACCCAAATGTACTGGGGATGTATTCTCCCTCCTCAAACCTTAGGGGACAGATTATTTTTGAAGAACAACTTTCATACTCACCAAGTATAGTTTAGAGGGATTCTGGAAGTTTCAGTCCAGCAGTAACTTTGTTCAACTCTTTTCCTGTTAAGTCTCATGTTCAATAACAATATTTAACTTTTCCATTTTTAGTAGTGTCCTTCCATTTTTAGTTTTCTGTATGGTATGTTGGAAGCCAAATAAAAACTGGATGAATCTAACTGAAGTTATATGAGATCATGGCTTTGGATCCTGCTTGGTTGATGAATGGCAGCTAGTCAAAGGTAGATGCCGAGTGGGAGGGCAGTGAAATGGAGAATATAAGCGCCCGCAGAGTGTTTTCATGATGTGGAATAACTAATATGTCCTGAATATCTCAAAAGATACTAGATCCTGTCTGATCTTGGAAGCTAAACTGGATCAACCATGGATGGTAGACCACCCATAAGTACCATGTACTATTTCATAGGAGGGAAATGGCGAAACCACCTCTGGATATTCCTTGTCTTAAGAATGTAAATGTATTTAAAATGGTCAACATCTGTTTTTTTAAAAAATTCTGAAAATGATCAATAAAAACTTACTGATAAAAATAAAATCCCAAGACTACCATAAATGAACAAGCAATTTGAAG